CCAGCTTGCTGCGGTGATCGGGGCCCTGCGCAGCCGAAAGCACGGCGTGTATTGGACAGGCGCCAGGCTTGTTCGACGGCCTTCCGAAAATGCAACACAAGGGCTCAACCAGCCCAAAGCACACATATCATGGACTGATGGAAGCAATGGATCACCGGAAGTCCTTGGGTTGTCGGCGGAAGATATTGCCCTGTTCGAACCAAACGATGACTACTGCTTGGCATTCGATCTCTGGCTTGGTCGATGGCAAGCCCGTTGTTGCAGTGATCGACTGGCCTATGCTTGCAAAATACGCTCGCTTCCGAAGGCGGTTGAAGACTATCCTACTGAAGGCAGAAGCAGTAAGTTCTGTTAGGCGAATTTTCTTGTTGAGGCGATTTATATGGACGTGCCTGTATTCATTAAAGTAGTAACGTTAAACCTTTTTTGGAAAAAAAGAAGTGTTCAACTGCTTGGGAATTATAGTGATATGCATCCCCTGACCCAAACTGACGGGACAACGAGCTCGTGGCTCAATGGTTAGCGCGTTGGATTCTGATCAAAAAATTTGCGAGTTCGAGGCGACGGTTAATAAGTTAGAAATTGCTATTCCAGTCTCCCTTGTTTTTGCCAGCAGTGCTATCTGCCTGCTACCAGCTGTTAAGGCTGTCAGGATCGCTGGCGAGACCCAATGCAGAGCGGGACAGATGAGTTCCGTTAGCGGTCAGATGAACGTTCGTCAACGAGTGACATTAAAAATGATCAGACTATGAAGAGGTCTTCAACGATCGAGTCGTTAGAGAAATGACATTACCAACAAAAAAGAAGAGTGAACTATAGTTTTCCCGGAAGAAATGTGTACAAGGCGAAGATCACTAGATTAGCAGAATTTAATGACGTCATAAATTTCATGACCTTTTATTCAACTGGATCGTGTGATCAACCTCGCATTGTCGTGGTAACGATCGATAAACTCAGTCCCGCTTACGTCTCCTCGTCACCCTTAGGACTGACTACTACCTTGTCACCTGCTCCTGCTCCAAGCTCACCCCCCCCCTTTTTTAAACACGTCCTACAGGCTTTCATGAACATGCACCAACATGAACAGCTAAGCTGTGACAATAACCTCCCCCCTCCTCTACCCCTCACCATGCGTCCACATCGATGACTAATTGCTTCTAA